TGAAATGATCTTCACCAACAATTTTGAAGAGTGAAACAATTTGACAATATAACTCTTTTGTGGCCAACCTTGTGAGATGTGTGAACTTTACTTGAACCCCCTTGAACCTTATCCCTTTCTTGGAAGAAACTTGAAAAATTGTGATCCCTCTTTATCAATTCACCAATAACTCTCATGAAGTGTGGTTTGTTTTGAATAGATAACTTAGGACAAAAGCCTAAGTTAGGGGTGTGGTGAAAAGAGAAGGAAAATCGAGAAGTGTGAGAAATCCCCCTTTGAGAATGGTTTTGAAAAATATGGAACCCCTCCATATATATAAAAAAAAAAAAGCAAAGAAAAAGAAGAAAAAAGCTGTGAAATAAAGTGATGAAAATTGCAAAAGAAATGGGGTGTCCGGTAATTCATAAGAAATTGAATAATGGGGTGGATTATGAGCATGTTTGAAATGTTAAAAAAAGGAGGAAAGTGATGTTCACATCACACTTCATGAGGGTAGAAGCCACTGAGCCTAAATGACCATACCTTTACACTCAGTCGCGTTACAAGCCTTGAAAAGACCTTTGTGATCTTGAGTGAGTTGAAACAAATGTTGATTGGAAAATAAGGGCAAACCTACGGGTGAAGTCATGCATGTGTACATCTTTGTGAGTGTGAGAGTTGTATGTTTTTCTGAAATTATAAATTGTTGAAGAAATTATGTGTGAAAATGGAATCATCTTTGTTGTGAGGGCATTTGAGTACCTTTGTTGAGCTTGAACTTGCATTTGAAGCAAATATTGTGAACTTGAACATCTTTGATAATGGTGAGTCACAATTTGAATCTTTGAGTGCACAATTGATCATTGCATGAGTAAGTTGAGTCTTGTTGTGTGCATTCATGTTGGGTCTTATCTAGCACTGTTTGAGACATCCTTTTTGGACTATTGAACTTATGTTTTACTTGAGGACAAGCAATAGTTTAAGTTAAGGGTGTTGATGAGTTCGATATTTGGACTCATTTGGGGATTTGTTTATATTAGATTTAGTGTCCTCGAATTCTTAATTTATGCCATAAATTGATGCTAAATCCTTGATTTTCAGGTATATGGATTGAGGAACAAAGCAAGGACACTAACAGGCAAAAAGGAACAAAACCAACCAAAAAAATGAAGAAGGGCGGCCTTGAGGATCGCCAAAAGCACTTGGCGTGTCGCCAAGTGTCTCATCTGACCACCTAAAGTTCCAGTGTGCCAAGCTCTGAAGGAAGAAACCAAGTCGGTGACGAAAAGGAGCATTCGGCGACTCGGCAAGCGGTTCTGCGAAGCAAAAATAGATCGCCCAAAGTTACAGGCCTCGAGGATGCTGAATGCCAAGGCGAAAAGGCGATGGAAGAGGTCGAAGGGCGGCTGGCCGAGTAGTTCGGCGAGCCCGACTTACTTTGCCGAATGGTCCTTCGTGGCTTATTTTTGGCGACTATAAATTAGATTTTGAACATTTAGCTATCTATCTATCTTTTATTTAGAACATTCTAAACACTTTTCTCTGTAGTTTTTCATAGTTTTGAAGAATCTTAGAGATTCAATTTAGAGATTTTGGAAGTGGGTTTCAAAGAATTGACAAATTGAAGCATTGTAAAGACTAAATCACTTTTACCCAGTTGATGGATAATCGATTCGGTTAGTGTTTTTACCTTTTTATGATGTTTGGCTAATGCCCCAATTCTTGGTGTGTGATCATGTGATTATGGGTTGAATTAGTTTATGGGTATAGTTAATTACTAGTTTAAATGCTATTTTGAAGTGAGTTTAATCATTAATTGTGGTTTAATTTATGAATTGTAGTTGCAAATGCAGTTATATTTTTGTGTTCTTGGCTTGCTCGAGATAGGGGTTTTAGAACTAAGATTATTGATTAATGATTTGTGGGTATTGGGTTAAGTTGGGTTTAGCTCGAGAGAGTGGATGAATTAAGGAATGGGTTGTTCTTCATTGCTATGCTTGTTAATCACCTGATTCGGGGTAGTTATTCGAAAGAAAACTATGTTCCTGATAGTCTAGCCTACTCACTGATCCTTAGTTGATTACTAGTAGTTTCAATTACCCATATATCTATATTTACCTATAACCGATCACATCCCGAGAATCCTTCTCCCTATTATTATATCAATGTGTTTGTGACTGCTGTGTAGTTGATAATTGTGAACTAAATCCCCATCTGACATTTGTGTCACCCTTTAATTTGATTAATGTCTTTTCCGATAATTTCTATTCCTATGACTAATTAGACCGCGTCTGCACTTCCTAATTGAATTTGAAACATGTACCGCTCTCTGTGGGATTCGACCCCAACTCATTTTGTTGGGTTTTATACTGATTTAGGATCGTTGACACCCAGAATTGGATGAGGTGAGCTTGAAACGTTTAAAATCAAAGACCCTATTACCCATAGTTTTGTCAAGTTAGAAAGTGACAGCCAACTATATAACTTTGTTAAAGATTTGTGGAGTGGGTCATCTTTTAAGTTGTTTTTGAAGCATGTGACTGTTAAAGAAGGGGGTCCACCGCTACAACTAGGACCATATTCTGTTGAAAAAAATAATCCAGAATTAGGAAATTGCTCTAGGGTTTCACACATTGAGCATGGTATAAATGGGGTAGGTGAAGTTGAACAACCATTAGAGGAAGAAAATGGTGATTCTCTTGACTTTGAAGAGGATGACTTAGATGATGTTCCAGATCAGGATGATAGTGAAGTTGATGAAGAACTGAGAGCTTTTATAGAAAAATATAGGGAAGGAAAAAAATGAAGCTGCAAAGAAAAAAAAAGAACTAAAAGACCCTCAAAGGATCAAGATGTTGAGCTTGGAGAAGCTGACATAGATAAGGGATTTGAGAATATCGTCACCAATAAGGCAACCAAATACAATGGGAAATTGGGAGGTGATGAAGTGGTTATTGATTCATCAGATGAACCAAGTGAAGATCGTGATGAGGATCTAGATGTTTTAGCACAACCAGGTGTTGATTTACCTTCAAGAAGAAAAAGCAACAAGCTGGGGTATGCTTTTTCTTCTTCCATTTCTTTCTTTGAGTTAGGTATGATATTTGAGAGTGAAACTCAATTTAGAAAGGTTGTTGCTGATTATGTTGTTCAACATAAGGTTCGGTTAAGGCTTAAACCAAATGAACCTCATAGAGTTAGGGAAAAATGTGAAGGAAAGTGTAAATGGGAAATCTTTTCAAGCTTGAATAAAGATTCTAGAAATATTTTTGTAAAGAAATACTACCCTGCTCATAGATGTATTACAAAGAATAGGAACATGTTGTGCTCAGCCAAATATGTGGAAATGAAGATAAGGAATAGAATAATATCTCAGCCTAACATGAGAGTTCATAAGCTTCAAGAGATACTAAGAAAAGAACGGGGATTAAAAGTGAGAAGATTGATATGCCGTGAATTATTGGCACATTAGATGCTCAAAACTAAGGATTCATACTAGAATCGAGTGTATTTTTGTAAGCTTTGATGTGTTTGTTGAATCTGTAGACAAATTCTAACCTGTGTGGAAAAATGAGAAGAAGATAAGTGTGATCAGGTGAAGACCACGGGCACCTAGTCAAGTCATGGTCCTTGAAACAAACGGTGGTGACGATCGTGATGGATTTCCAGTGAAGAGACATCAAGGAGCTGAAATAGGATTGGACCAAGTAAAGACCGCTGACCACCTCACGGGTCGTGGTCCTCACAACGGTCTGTACTTGTGACCGTGGAGTGGATCTAGTGTGTGGGTCTGTAGAAGATGAAGTGTAATGGCGACCAATTGAAGACCACGGAAGGCCTCACAAGCAGTGGTACCCATAACAACTCGTGGTGGTGATCGTGAAGTGGATCCAGTGTATAGGCTTTGAAGACTCGCATTTTGTTTGGGCCAAGTATAGAGCACGGCAGGCTTCACGGATAGTGAAACCTTTTACGGTCCATCATGTTGCATGTGAAATTTCTCGATAGTTCAGTCCTACTTCGAGTAGGACTCATTTTAGACACTTTATTTGAATTAATTAGGTCATTTTTAGTTTTTATCTCATCATATTTGGAACGAGCAACTTAGTTTTGAATACTTTTGACTTTGGGTTTTATCGATTAACATTGAATCGATTTTGGAAGTTGGATTTGGATTTTCTCAATATCAATCGCTCAATGAATTTGCATATTATTGTAAGTTAACTTTCTTAATGTTTGCATTACTAATCTCTGTTCATTTAAGTGGAAAGCATGAGTTGCTAAACACCACAACTAGGGTTATGGATACTATGACAGAAATCTAAATGTGAATTTATAAAATGAGTAGAAGGTGAATTATATTTGCAATATTTAACTCAGCTTTCATTATTCATTTGTCCTAATGAGTGCACGTGTTAGAGTCAACATGTATCTATTGACTGCTCGAGAGAAAAGAGATAGTAAGGAAAAAGCAGAGTTAATCTAATAAAATGGTGTTAAAGGTCGAGTTCAAGAGAATAGAACTTTAACATCATTGTACGCGAGGGTATAATTTGTTAACACTCAAAGCCTAAGAGAAATTGAGTGAAAATTATCTAACTAGACTAAGAGGTGTTAGATATAATCAACCAGCTTATAAATTGGAAAGACTATATTACTTGAAACTCAATTACGGATGAACAATAGATGTAATGTCATGGGAAATACAACCCTGGTTTTATTTATTTATTGAAACAACTTTAGAATCAATACTCTGTTAATTGTTAATCTGGCTCTTGTTTAACAATGTTAGTTACTAGAACTTTACAGCTGAAATACAATTTACATTCTGTAATTATTTTCTTTAGGAAATATTAACAACATTTGGGTAAACGCCACACTGAAATTATTTTTGTAAGGAAATTCTGTGTGGGATCGACCTCAACTCATGTTGAGTTCTGTAAATTGACTTTGACCATTTATACTTCTTAATTGAAGTGTAAGTTTGGACATATCAAAGACCAGTATGTTATAGAGCAAAAATGAATGCTATTGCCAAGTTCTTGGGTGATTGGAAGCTTGAATTTTCAAGGTTGTTAGACTATGCTGATACGATTGAGAGTACAAATCCTAAGATTTCTTGTTGGGTGAGAATTGATAATGAACAGTCCATGACTTACACTTGTTCAAATATTTCTATGCTTCCTTTGCTTCATTGAAAAATGGATGGTTGGAAGGTTGTAGGAAGATTATAGGATTGGATGGATGCTTTCTGAAGGCTGGTTGTAGAAGAGAATTATTATTGGCAGTTGGAAAAAATGGAAACAATCAAATGTATCCAATAGCTTGGGCAGTGGTTGATCAAGAAACTAAACACTCTTGGAGTTGGTTCTTAAGCTATCTCATTGAAGATTTGCAACTTGGTGATGGAACTGGCATAACAGTCATGTATGACATGCAAAAGGTATTTATTCTGCCACTTCTTTTAAACATTTATTTGTTGATTTACTGTCTTTGTTTCTTTATGTTAGTTACTGCCTTATGTTATTGTCTTTTGGGTATTTACTGTCTTTGTTTATTAATGTTAGTTGTTGCCTTGTGTGGGAAATTTGTGGATATTGTTGGTGTGTGAAGTAAGTAAAGTTGTTGAAGACTATCAAGTTTCATTTATACTTGCATTAAAGATGCCTTTGTTTATTTCTCTTAGTTATTGTCACTACCTGTGAATGTTGTTAGTGTGTGAAGTAAGTGAAGTTTTTAGTGTGTGAAGTAAGTGAAGGGTGCTAATAGATGCCCTAAAATGTTTATTTATGTTAGTTATTGCCACTATTTTGTGCTAATAGATATCTTAAAGATGCCTTAAAGTTATTGATTAAATATTTCTTAGGGTCTTGAGATAGTAGTTGAAGACTTACTTGTTAATGCTGAAAGAAGAATGTGTGCAAGATATATTTTGGCAAACTGGCAAAAAACATGGAGAGGTGAGGAAAGGAAAAGAGCATTTTAGAGGTGTGCCAAAGCTAGTTTTGAGGTTAAATTGGGAGATGAATTGGAATATATGGCCAAATTGGGTGATAGAATATGTGAGTCATTGCTTGGATATAACAAAGAATACTGGTGTAGAGCTTTATTTAATGAAAGATCAAAGTGTGATGTGGTGGAAAATAATATGTGTAAAACATTCAATTCATGGATTGTTTGTCCTAGACATAAATTTGTGATTAGTATGCTTGAAAATATTAGACATAAAATGATAGATAGGCATGGAGATATGATTAAGTTTGCAGATACTTGGATCAGTGACGTTTCACCTATGGCAAGACTGATTTTAGAAGAAAACAAAGAGATTGGCAGGACACTAAGGGTGAATTCAAATCATGACATTAGATTTGAGATCCAAGAAGGAGAGTATAGACACATGATTGATATGACTAAAAAGACATGTAGTTGTAGGTTGTGGCAGTTGAGGGGCATACCTTGCCAACATGTTGTTTGTGCCTTATATCACATTGGGCAAGAACCAAAAGATTATGTGGAACATTGGTACAAAAAAGATACATTCCTAAGTGCTTTTAAGTACTTTTTACAACCCATCTCCAATATGGTAATGTGGCCTGACACCAATAACCCAGCAGTTGAGCCTCCTGAAGTGAAGCCATGTCACGACCCAGGGGTACACCCTATATATAACTTAGCATACTTGACACCGAAGGGGTCTCATATAAGCCCTTAGCATATATAACATGAGATACTAGATAAGTGCGGAATTTTAAAACATTTTTCAAATAATCAAAGTATTTATAAAAACAAAGCGGAAGACTTATTACACATGTCTCAAACCATCTAGAACATGAACATCTTAGGGACCAAGCCCATACAATAGTCTAAAACATAAATAAATACATAAAAAGGAAATGGTGGCTATATCCTCGATGCTATGAGGACTCACCAATCTTCAACTCCTTGCTCCTACTAAGAACCTAGCCTCAAATATGGAACTCAATATCATCGGACCATACATTTGATGAGAATGTAGGCAAGAGTATGCGTTGATACAAAATGTACTAAATATGATAGCTAGCATAACATCATAAGAGCATAACATAAGAGTTAGCTAATCATAAGATATATGCCATAAACATAAGAGACAACAACATAATCATAAGCATAATCTCCAACATAAGCATAATATAAGCATTAGTCAACATAAGGCATAATCCAAAACATAAGAGATACATCATGTTCATAAGCATAGTAAATACTTAGATCTTCATATCATAAGAGAACTACTTCTCAAGTAACCTCAAATCATACTTGTGCAATGCATGAATGAGACCCCATAATCCCATCCACACTAAGTACCACTTTTGGGTCATCATCATCATACTTACCCTCTTAGGATCTCGTCCTTAGCATAATTTTCATAGATAAAGGAACCTTCACCTTTAGTCAAACATATCAAGGAAGGCAACTATAGCAACAATCCAAGCTAAGCATACAACGTATAAGAGAAACACTTCATGAGTCACCTCAAGGCAAGCTTGTGCAATGCATGAATAAGACCCCATAGTCCCACCCATGCTAAGTTAGAGACTTTAGTCCCTCATCCATATTTATCATCTCTTATTCTCATAATTAACTTATTTCTCATAGACAACGGAAATCACCTCAAGTCATACATGTATTGGAAGGGTCTTTCAAGCTACAATCCAAACTAGTCATGCTCATAGTACTCTTTTCTTATTCTTAAGACATGTTAACTCACCTCTCTATGTCTATCATAAGGGCCAATGGGTATTCACCTCTCCATGTCTATCATATAGGCCAAATGGGGATTCAACTATTACTTTACATGTGTAGTCACAGGCATTCGCCTCCATAACTATTTTAGGGAAACATAAGTATTCACCTCCATGCCCCGCCATTATATGATATAGGTATTCGCCTCTAGATCATTACATGAGGATCATAAGGATTTGTCTTAATGATCAACATAAAGGCTAATGGGTATTCACCTCTTGCCTTACTATAGAAGTTATATATTAAAGGTAGTCACCACACACTTCTCATATCATGTCATGGGTAATCTCCTCATGACTATCTACTTAGGGATAAGGGAAGTCACCTCACATCCCTCTCATACAAAGGTCTTTGGGGGAATCACCACAAGCCTCATCAAATTTCATAGTCCTTGGACTTATATTCATTTTAGGTGAGAAAGCCTTTTGACCTAGAATCATTCTATGTTAGAGAACCTATCATATCATATCATATCATATTCATGCATAAGTGTGTGTGTGAGAATGAACTTTCACAACACAACAACATATCATAATTATAGACACTTTACTCTTAAAGTGTTCTTAAGCATATACATAGATTTTCATAAAACATGCATGAATCTCATACTTTACCTCCTTGAGGTTTCTAAACATTCCTTTAATCAACATATCTAGAATTCTACACTAGACATGGATATCATCATAACTCAAGTGTTCTATCACTTCATACATTCAAATACTCATAAGGTAGATTAGGTGGGTAAAGTCCTTCCAGAACAATTTTCTCTAATAGTCTACCATTATCACATAAGTTTCACTCTTAATACCTTAACATAAATAATTCATCATATTGGCTTTACTCTAAAAACCTTAGGAATTTACACTCATGACTACAAGCCTTACTCTCAAAGCTTTATTTCTTAAAATCATCATACATACCTAAATTTCAAGGCTTTCTAATCACATTCTTCATTATTAAGTGATTCTAGTCTTAAATCATCATAAAGGTTCAACTTCAAGCTTTACTAGTCATGATCCATCATACATCTATAATCTAATTCATTTCATGTATACATGATTCTATTCTTGACAAATTACTACTCATATCATCACTTCTAGAAGATCATCTGTAAGTCCTCAGTTTCCCTTCACAAGAAATAAATCCACATTACTACAATTTCCTCAATTAACTAGGGTTGGCCATGTAAAACATGCAAATTCTTCATAATAACATGATTCTCTACTAATTCAATCATAAACAACCAATATCCATTCAATTGGATTCATACTCAATCATAACACACAATATAGGAAGAAACCCTAGCTAGAGTTGGGTTCATCTTCATAATTGGGGGATTTCTAGGGGGCTCCATGAATGGAAGAATCCATGGGTGAATAAGCTATCAGACCTTGGATACAAAGACCTCAAAAGCTTCTAACAAATCAGGAATTTTCCTTAACTTGCTCTTCTTCTTCTTCTTCTTCTTCTTCTTCTTCTTCTTCTTCTCCTCCTCCTCCTCCTTCTTCTTCTTCTTCTGAGAATTTCTTGGAGGGAATTGGGTCTCTTTTGGTGAATTGAAATAATTATTTGGAATCACTTATTTAAGGGTCTAATAGCTTTATATAGGTTGTCTAATTACTAATAAAATGAAACCACTTAATAAATAATTAATTCTAGAAAGTTCCCTTAAGCCCTTCACTAACCGACTTAGTTGACCACACTGCCTCACCCACGAGATCACGCCCACGGGGGGTGGGTGGACCCACATGGCGTGCTGGTCATTCGTGGGTTGTGGCCTGGGAGTGAACTTTTGGGGTCTTGACCCATGACCCCTCACCCACTGGGCGTGGGTCCATCTACTGGTTGTGGCCCCTTTTCATGGGTGGACTGTTTTGGGGCAGGTTCTAGGGTAGTTTTAGGGTCCTCTTCAAGGTCCTTGAGGAGTCGTACCTTGATATTTTAACCCCTAACCCTTCATTCTAAGTACGGAAAGTCATTTCTACGACTCTAACCCTCACATAAAGCTCTAGAACCCTCACATAAGGCTCTAGTTTAGCTTACTAGTTTCCGGGTGTTACAATATTTCCCCCTTGGGAACATTCATCCTCGAATGACGATTCTAAACACTTCTTAAAGGAAACGATTCTAGACTAGCAGCCCACCATGCATGCAACTCATCTAAATGCATATAAATAAGGAGGAAAACTTCAACTCCAAGATAATTATACTAAATGCAACACAAGGAAGTAGGAACTACATCTAACACCTGAAATGCCTGAAATATTATATCTACTCATATTTAAGGAGGAACTACCATATCCTAGATAAAACATGCTCAACATACACTCATAGAGCTCATATGCAATTTACTCTCAAAAAGCATTTATTCAAGGAGGAATCTCTCAACTCCAAGCTCAGGCATGCTCATATATTCATCTCATGAAGTCAAATAGGCAACTCTACTCAATTCACTACAACATGAGGAAAAACAATGCACATAAGTCATTTCAATCAAGTTCTAAGCTTTTTTATGAACATTCATACAAGGAAACCATGACCACACATAAACACACAATGACCTTGCTATAAAGGCACACCATCACCCACTTGGGAGTAAGCCTAGGTGGACTTCCTAAGAACCATTACTTTTAATTCTAGGATCGGAACAAGTCATCACTAAACCTTTATATCCTTCACACAAGAGGATTCTAAACCAAGGTAAATTACAATACTACTCTTTAGACAAGGCTACTTATTGAACACCCCAAGGTATCTTCTAATCACCCTCTTAATCAAATCTTTCAACTTACTCAAAACTTAAAGTGGTTAAGTAGGGTTCTACCATCAATAATATAAGGCAACAATGCAGCCCATTCATACTAAAGACAACCTCAAAGTCTATAATATCAAATCTATCTCATCATAAAATGTCGCAACACCGGAATCTAAGTAAAGCTTAAAAAATACATACCGGTAGTAACATTCGGAGGACACTCTTTTCCACCTCTAGCTTTGAGAGCTTAAGGCCTATTATTATTTGGAGAACTCCCACCCAAACCAATTGGACCGGAGGAAGGGTAGGGTTGAGACCTACGACGAGTATCCCTTTCATTTCTAGCCACTTTGGGGAAATGCCTTATATTGTGGCCCAACTCACCACACCCAAAATAAACATTAGAACCCACTAGGCATTCACCCTCATACTTTCTATCACACTTACTACTACTCGGAAATAGAACCCCACTACTATCTCTTTGTGGCTTAGGGTTAGCCACCCCTTTGTGGTTGAACTTAGGAGTGTTTGAGGACCTTTGCTCGGGGAACTTTTGTATATACCTAGGGCGACCATGTCCATTGGACTCATCATGAAGTACTTAACATCATCCATTCTAGGCCTATTTTTCTCCTTAAGCTTTAATTCCTCAATTTGTTGCGCATGCACCATAAGACGTGAGATATCCATATCACCAACAAGCATCGCCGTACAACATTCTTTTACTACTAAGTTGGATACTCCCATCATGAACCTATTCATCTTATCCCTTGAATCTTCCACTAAAGTTGGAGCACACTTGGATAATTGGGTAAATTTTAAGGCATACTCCTTAACACTCATGCTACCTTGCTTACGGTTAATGAACTCTTGAATTTTAGCCTCCCTCAATTTTAAGGGAAAGAACCTATGAATGAATGCCTTCTTAAACACCTACCACTCTATGGAACCCGCTCCTACCGGTCTATTCTCCCTCCATTGATCATACCATAAATCTCATATCCCTCTCAATTGGTAAGCGACTAACTCGACTTTCTCTATCAAAGTCACCCCCATGATATCAAGCATCTTATAAACCTCATCTATAAACTCCTTAGGGTCCTCTTACACTTTAGTGCCATAAAACTCAGGGGGTTTCATCTTAATAAACCCCCTCACTCTTAAAGCCGCAGAATTAACATTAGGATTCACAGGAGTAACCACATCCCTATTGACTTGCGTCGTCATGGCTTGAGCTAACATTTGGATAGTAAACCTAAACTCTGCATGAGTAACATTCTCAACTAGATGATCAACCGGAGCTTGAGAAGGAGCTTAGGGAAGAACCTCATGATACACATTTTCTTCCTCATTTCTCCTAGCATTTGCCCTTGTATTAGCCATATCCTGAAACTAACAAGCACAAATTAGGGGAAGGACCTAATAGAGTTAGAATCTATAGCACGACTTAGAGAATAAGGAAGTGAAGTTTCCTAAACATCCAATAGCCTCATATTCATAAATGTGGCGCGCTTCACATTTATGAAAAAGACTGTACTAGACGTGGTTTGAGACATCCTAGAACCATTCTAAATCTTGTGCTCTGATTACCAAGTTTGTCACGACCCAGGGGTACCCCTTAGATGTAACATGGCGTACTTGACCCCGAAGGGGTCTCATACAAGCCCTTAGCATATCATAACATAAGATACTAGAAAAGTGTAGAATTTTAAAACATTTTTCATACAATTAATGTCTTTATAAAAACAAAGCAGAAGTCTTATTACACTTGTCTCAAACTATCTAGAACAAGAACATCTTAGGGACCAAGCCCATAAAATAGTCTAAACCATAAAGAAAGGCATTAAAAGTAAATGGTGGCTATATCCTCGATGCTATGATGATTCACCAATCTTCAACTCCTTGCTCCTACTAAGAACCTAGCCTCAAATATGGAACTCAAGATTGCCAGACCCTACATTTGAAAAGAATGTAGGCAAGAGTATGTGTTAGTACAAAATTTAGTAAATATGATAGCTAGCATAACATCATAAGAGCATAACATAAGAGTTAGTCAATCAAAAGATAAATGTCATAAACATAAGAGACAACAAAATAAGCATAAGCATAATCTCCAACATAAGCATAATATAAGCATTAGTCAACATAAGGCATAATCCATAACATAAGAGATACATCATGTTCATAAGCATAGTAAATACTTAGATCTTCATATCATAATAGAACAACTTCTCAAGTAACCTCAAAGCATCACATAAGTTTCACTCTTAATACTTTAACATAAATAATTCATCATATTGGCTTTGCTCTCAAAACCCTAGGAATGAATACTCATGACTACAAGCCTTACTCTCAAAGCATTATTTCTTACAATCATCATACATACCCAGATTTCAAGGCTTTCTAATCACACTCTTTATTATTAAGTGATTCTAGTCATAAATCATCATAAATGTTCAACTTCAAGCTTTACTAATCATTATCCATCATATATACTATAATCTAATTCAATTCATGTCTACATGCTTCTATTCAAGAACAATTACTACTCATATCATCACTTCTAGAAGATCATCTATAAATCCTCAATTTCCCACTTCACAAGGCATAAACCCACATTATTACAATTTCATCAATTAACTAGGGTTATCCATGGAAAATATGTAAATTATTCATAATAATATTATTCACTACTAATTCAATCATAAACAACAAATATCCACTCAATTGGATTCATTCTTCTTCTTCTTCTTCTTCTTCTTCTAGAGAGAGAATTTCTTAGAAGGAATTGGGTCTCTTTTGGTGAATTGAAACAATGATTTGGAATCACTTAATTAAGGGTCTAATAGCTTTATATATGTGGTCTAATTACTAATAAAACGACACCACTTAATAACTAATTAATTCTAGAAAGTTCTCTTAAGCCCTTCACTAAACGACTTAGTTGACCACACTACCTCACCCTCGAGACCACGCCCACAGGCTATGGGTGGACGCAAGGGGGCATGTTGTTCATCCGTGGGTGGTTATCTAGGAGTGAACTTTTGGGGTCTTGACCCATGACCCCTCCATCTACTGGTCGTGGTCCCCTTTCGTGGGTGGACTATTTTGGGGCAGGTTCTAGGGCAGTTTTAGGGTCCTCATCAAGGTCCTTGGGGAGTCGTACCTTGACGTTTTAACCCCTAACCCTTCATTCTAAGTACAGGAAGTCATTTCTACGACTCTAACCCTCACGTAAAGCTCTAGAACCCTCACATAAGGCTTTAGTTTAGCTTACTAGTTTTCGGGTGTTATAAGCCAATGCCTAGAAGACCAGGTAGATGTAGAAGAAAAGATAAATATGAACCATGAAAAAAGAAGTGGGGGAAAGTATCAAAGATAGGAGTGAAGATGTCATGTTCCAAATGCCATCAAGTTGGGCATAACAATAGAACTTGTAAATTAGTGGTTAGCATTTTTGTCTTTCTTTTAAGTTTTAATCAGTTTGATACTTCTAATTTTGTGTCTTTACAGCCCTCTCAACACCCCCACACAACAGCATGTAAGGCCCTTTCAACAACCACCAATGAGGCAGCCTATCATTGGACATGCCTCGACTTTATGTGCAGATACTTCAAAGGTTAAAGGAATGAAAAAGCAGCAGCCAACTGCAAGGGCATCATCTACTTCAACTGCCTGGGCAGCATCTACTTCAACTGCAAGACCAACATCTTCTCCAGTTGGAATGTCGCCAGCTTCTTCAGTTGGAAGAAAAAAAACAAGAGATGTGGGATTTGATGTTTACACAGATATACAATCTGGAAGACAAGTGATTAATATATGTATATTGCCTTCTTTAATTGATTTTCTTACATCTATATTTAGGTATACTAAATAATGCCCTATAGATTTTCTTACATCTATATTTTCTTACGCCATTTGCCAAACTGTCCGTCGCTTTTTAATAAAGATAATTATTTTTAAAATTATTTTACAAAAAGCGACGGACGACATCTCTTAGTCCCTCGCTTTTTTTTGCAGATTTTTGCGCTAAATATATATATAATTAATAATTATTTATTTAATATATATAGAGACGTCGTCCGTCGCTTTTTAATAAAAATAATTATTTATAAATTAAAAAATAACCACGTTGTCCGTCATTTTTAATTTATTTTATTTTATTAATTAATTTTTTTAAAAAGTGACGGACGACATCTCTTAGTCCGTCGCTTTTTGGTAAAGATATCTAGTCAAACATTTTCAAAAAGTGACAGACAGTGTCTCTTAGTCCGTCACTTTTTAGTCAAAATTTTGGTCAAATATATTTTAAAAAGATACAGACAAAGAAACGTTGTCCGTCGCTTTTTTTAAATTATGTTGAACCAAAAAGCAGGTTTTCCCCCCATTTTTCCCATCTCTCTCTTCTCTCTTCTCTCCCTTCTCTCTAAAACCAAACTGTTGCGCTGCCGCCGCTGCCACACGCCACCCCACGCCGCCGCCGCCCTTCTCTCACTGAGCATTAGTCTCGTCGCTGCCTTGCCCCGTCGGCGCCGCCACCCGTCGTCCCCACTACCTCTTTTCCTTAGCTTGTTAAGGTTAGGGTTTAATTTTAGTTTTTTTAAATTATAGTAATATTTGATTTGTTATAAATTAGTATATTGTTTTAGTTTGATGAATTGTGTTCAATTGTTAATTTGTATATTTCATTATTGTTAGTTAGGTAGAGAATTAGGAATTTTTTATTTTAGGGTTTTCTTCTAAATTAGGGTTTTTTTTAAATATGATTGTGGATTGAGTATTAGAAGATAGAACTAACAAATAATTGAAGTTAGAAGTTATAAAATTAGAAGTTAGATTAGTTGCATTTTTCAACTTTAAAATTCTTGAATTTAGTATGTTTTGAGGGTTGAAGTTAGAAAACATTCAATTGTATATGAAAGTTAGATTACTTTGAAGTTAGAAAAATATTGGATGGTATATGAAAGTTGAAATTAGATTAGTTGAATTTTCCAACTTAGAAGTTCTTGAATTTAATAAGTTTGAAAGTTGAAGTTAGAAAAATTGGGGATTTTAAAATATGATTGTAAATTAAGTATTAGAAGTTAGAACTAACAAATAATTAGAAGCTAGCTAGAAGTTGGAGATTAGTTGAATTTTTTAATTTGCCATTGTATTTGTGCTTATATGTATTATATTGTTGTTGAAAATTGGGTTACTTGAATTATATTCTTGAACTTAGAAATTCTTGAACTTGGAAATTCTTTAACTTAGAAATTCTAGAAATCAGATATGAACTTGAATTTTTGTAGGATTTTAGAACTTTAATTAGGTTGTGAACTTTAGAAATCTTGAATTATTGTAGGATTTTAGAACTTTAGGTTGTGAACTTAAGAAATCTTGAATTATTGTGGGATTTTAGAACTTTAAGTTGTGAACTTTAGAAGTCTTGAATTATTGTAGGATTTTAAACTTTAGGCTGTGAACTTTAGAAATCTTGAATTATTGTAGGATTTTTGAAATTTAGGTTGTGAACTTTAGAAATCATGAATTATTGTAGAATGTTAGAACTTAAAGTTGTGAACTTTAGAGAACTTGAATTTTTGTAGGATTTCAGAACTTAATAAGATTGTGAACGTTAGAAATCTTGAATTATTGTAGGATTTTAGAACTTTAAGTTGTGAACTTTAGAGAACTTGAATTTTTGTAGGATTTTAGAATTTTAGGTTGTGAAACGTTAGAAATCTTGAATTATTGTAGAATTTTAGAACTTTAAGTTATGAATTTTAGAAAACTTGAATTTTTGTAGGATTTTAGAACTTTAAGTTGTGAACTTTAGAGAACTTGAATTATTGTGAGATTTTAGAACTTAGGTTGTGAAATTTAGAAATCTTGAATTATTTTAGGATTTTAGAACTTTAGGTTGTGAACTTTAGAAATCTTGAATTATTGTGGGATTTTAGAACTTTAAGTTGTGAACTTTAGAAATCTTGAATTATTGTAGGATTTAAAACTTTAGGTTGTGAACTTTAGAATCTTGATTTGTAGAATTTATGAACTAATTATTAGGTTGAACTTTAGAAATCTTGATAAAATATAGTCTTTATGACTATTTGTAATTTTGAAACGAATTTTGAAAGACTTTATAAATCCTTAAATCACAATTTTTGAATGTTATTTTAAGTTTGTTGTTTTATATTTTGTGTAGCTTCTTTATAATGTTTTGTGCTTGATTGTGGCTGAATTGAATTGAATTGAATTGTTTTTGCAAGTTTCTGCTACCAAAAAAATTGCAGAAAAAGCGACAAACAGGGTGGTTTTGTCCGTCGTTTTTCTGAATTTTATTTTTTTTAAAGCCCAGAAAAGTGACGAACAGGGTCCTTTAGTATGTTGCCTTTTTTAATTTTATTTTTAAAAAAACTCAGAAAAGCACCGGACAGGATCCTTTAGTTCGTCGCTTTTCTGGATTTTTCAAAATTTTATTTTCAAAATAGCAACGGATGGCATCTCATTGTCCGCCGCTTTTCAAGATTCTAAAAAAATTAAAAATTAATTAAAGTGACGGACTTCATCTCTTTTTTAAAATTACAAAAAAAAGAAGCTACGGACGGCGTTAGATTCTTCAAAAAAATTATCTAAAAAACAAAAGCAATGCAGTCCGTCGCTGTTTTGGATTTTTCAAAGTTTTATTTCCAAAAAAGCGACGGACGGCGTCTCATTGTCCGTCGCTTTTCATGATTCTAAAAAAATTAAAAATTAATTAAAGCAACGACTTCGTCTCTTTTTTAAAATTAAAAATAAAATATAAAATAAAAAGTGATGAACGACGTCGCATTCTTAAAAAAAAAAAGTTAAAAAGCGACACAGTCCATCGATTTTGGAAAAGCGTTGAGCCTAAAGCGACGAGATTGACTGCGTCGCTTTTGGCCAAAAAAGCGATGCAGTCCATCGCTTTTTCCCTCTCTTTTTGGCAGTTTTTTAGTAGTGGGAGGAGGGCAACGAATGTTATGGCTATCGTCTTTTATTTCTCTGAGGGAATAAGTAAAATAGCAAAATTGCTTATAGTTATTGACTTTTAGATGCAGTTGTCTTTTATTGCCATTGAAAAGAGTTTTTTTTTCGGCCAATGTGCATTTGCCGCTATATCTCATTTTAGAGAACAAATTAGTGGCAATTATTTTATTGCCGCTAAATAATTGCCACTAAAAGTATTTTTTGGTGTAGTGAATTCACATGAAAGCTACTGTGGATTCAATTAAGTAATACTAGAGCTATTATTACACGAACAAAGTGATTCAAATAAGAGAAAGGGTGACAATACTATGTGAATGAATTTTGATGGACTTGGACTTATGGTTGTAATAGTTAGACTAAAATTTAACTGTTGAGTTTGAGAAAATGATAAAGTTAAAGACTTGAGTTATTGAAAATTTAACAAAATATTTATATTTTATTTATGAATAATATATAAATAATTATAAAATTTGTATATATAGTTTCTCAATTCAGTTTGGTTATTTTTGTGGGTTTTTCTTAGTGAAATCAAAACTAAATCAAATAGTATTGGTTTTCAAAATTGAAACCAAATCTAACCAAACCAAATATCAATTTTTTAATCGATTTAGTTCAGATTGCGATTTGGTTTGATTTTTTAACCATGACCATGAATAGCCCTAGGAGTAATAATAATACTCTCCTATCCCTATTTACTTGTGCATTTTTTACTTGGCATACTTGTTAAGAAAATAATAATTGATATGTGAGTTTATCATTTTACCTCTACTAGTTGATAGAATTTCAAAATTAATTTACTCAATGAAGATATTGTGCCTTTTTGGAAAAAATAAGCATCTAAATAAATTGAGGGTATAATATGAAGAAAAAAAAATGATAAGTAGGGTTTGTTTTCCTAGGTTGTCCGAAAAACACAATCTGTCAGTGATTCTGAATGTGGTGTGTGTCATAGTTGTTGCCCTTGTCCTTGTGTGTTGGCTGCCTTGAATTTCATTACTGGTTTGTCTCTTGATACTAGTTGTTTGATTTTAGTAAAAGTTTTGTTTTGTGCTTGTGGACTCATTTTAAGTTATATAAAGCTAACATGATTTTGATAAGAGTCTCTTTTAATTTTTTCTTTAGTGTGATTGGATGATGCTCTTACATCTATCTGACTAATCTGTAAAAAAAATATATATATACGTAAGTCTTTTAAGCTTAATTTGTGCTTGTCTTGTTGCAGGGCAAGGACGCACACTAAGGACAAGAGTTATTGTCATGAAACCACTAGTATTTTTTTTTCTTCTGTCCCTTGTTTTTTCCTTTGTAACATATAATCTGATTACCATGGTTATAAGGTATACATTTGTTGGCTTTGAGAAATCAAACTCAAAGGCTGTTGGTTTCACTCAACTATTTCTTGATCCCATTATTCACATGCCTCACAATCTCACAAAACCTAAACCCCAAAAGTTGCTATTCCATATTGCATTAACAGCAACTGATACTCCTTATAGCAAGTGGCAATGCCGCATCATGTACTATTGGTATTTGAAAAAGAAGAATTTACCAGGTTCAGAGATGGGAAAATTCACTCGAATCCTTCATTCAGGAACCCCTGACAATCTAATGGATGAAATTCCCACATTTGTCGTTGATCCTCTTCCACAAGGTTTTGATATGGTCAGAAACATGCCTTTCTTTCCAGTCAGGTTTTGGCATCAAATGTTATTTAGACTCACTCATCAATCATGGTTAGTTTGCTGCTTGCAGGGTTACATTGTCCTCAATAGACCTTGGGCATTCGTTCAGTGGTTGGAGAAGGCTACCATAGAAGAGGAGTGAGTTCTCAAATGTTTAATTATGTGAAAAATCTGGTTGACTGCATAACAATCTTAGCCTTTTCTATTGTGGCAGATACATACTTATGGCAGAGCCTGATCACATTTTTTTGAACCCGCTCCCAAATTTAGCTTATGGAGATTACCCAGTTGCTTTCCCTTTTTTCTACATGAAACCTGCCGAACACGAGGAGATCATAAGGAAATTCTTTCCCAAAGAAAATGGTCCTGTAACAAATGTTGATCCCATTGGAAATTCCCCGGTCATCATTAAGAAGGTATATTTTTACCTTTATTTAGGTATTCATGTCGCTAAGGGCATTTTAATATGTTTATGTACTTGATACTAATTTCTTGTTTATCCTAGTTATGGGTGACCTAACCCACATAATACATGATGAGGTCCCATGGTAGATGCTATTTGCCAATTGTGAAAAATATGAAGGAAGAATATTATTAAATTATTGTTGTGTCTACATTATTACATTTAGACCCTATTTATAGACACTAGAATATAATCCATTACCAAGTAGGATACTATTTACTATTCCTATTTCTATTTGTATGATCATGTTCCTATTCTAATAGGATTGTTTAACCTAACACCAATGATATTGTGTTAATTGACAAACCCAACGAGGGTATCAACCAGTAGCTTGAACTTTGGAGAAGCACTTTAGAGAGTAAGAGTTTCATGATAAGTAGAAGTAATTAGTCTGACCGAATACATGCTCCGCAAGTTTAGTTAACACTAGAAGAGCGAAGTTGATGTAAGACAAGGCGGCAATTGCGGTGCCAAAATGCAAATAATTTACATATGTTGGTTTGTTGTTTCAAGAAAATGGAATGATAAATGGAGATGTTACTCACGGTGTTGTCATAGGCCTGCTTAAGACTTGAAGTAAGGCTCAAAAGGAAACCTGAAATCCCCACAAACTACTCAAGAGCTTGAGCATAGACCCCCAATTTCCCCCATACTTGTTCTCTTTCTTCCGTCATTGGGACCATAAATGCTGCCAAGAAAAATGTGGGTATGAATTCACAAGTAATCTAACAGTCTCTCACACTAGTTACGTCACCTGCTCATGATCTCCCATCCCAAAGAATAATTCCTCCCCTAGTTCCAGTAGCTTCAAGTTGACACATAAATTGGTTTCCCACAAGACTTTCACAATATTCTTGATATCACCTTCTACTTTGGACTCTCGAAATCAACGTTCCAACTATGGATGAGGCTCATATATGCTTGCTTGATTTAGTTTCCTCACATTCCAGGATACTTATCTTGACTGTCATTGATCATTAGCTTTAACATATCCCCCTACTCCTTGTACCTTTACTTTTGAAAGTATTGCCGATATCTAGACTGTTCATTTCTTTAGAGCTTTTAATTTTTTTGTCATACCCGCCGATTTTTCAATATCAGCTTGTTTGAGGTTGTCAATATTCATAAATAACTGCAAGGTTATCTAGACAAAAATTATTGTTGATGTTAATATTATCTATATGTATCTTTTGAGTTTTATTTTCATTAATTATTCAGAATAAGCCCTCTTCAATTTCATTGATGTGTCTCTACCATGTCATTCTCTCATTTTCTAAATTTTCCGTGTGAACATATTTCTGTCCCGTGTCTATTTGTATACCACTAGATTGTTATTAGATATAGGTCTCTTAATTTATTACAGCTACATAAATTCTTGGATCAGCACTTTGTGCTTATTTTGCACTTGTTTTTTTTTAATCTTGTGATTTCAAGGAATTGTTTTTGGTTTATACAGAATTTGTTGGAGCAAGTTGCAACTACATGGATGAATATTTCTCTAAGAATGAAGCATGATGAAGAAACGGATAAAACTTTTGGCTGGGTCTTAGAAATGTGAGAGATCTACTAATTAATGAGTTGAAAGATGTAGGTTTTGTCGTCATAACTGTGTTTTTGACTCATCTATTTTCTGAATTAAGGTATGCGTATGCTATAGCTTCTGCTTTGCATGGTGTGCAGCATATTCTTCGGAAAGACTTTATGCTACAGGTTTTGATCTGTATTACTAAACAGTCTAGTCTTTGTGATTCATTTCTTTTTTTTTTACTTTTCATAAGTAATCTTGAATTTTAAATATTTTAGCCACCCTGGGATTTGGACAATAGAAAAAAGTTTATCCTCCATTACACTTATGCGTGTGACTACAATATGAAGGTAGAGTTATTATTATTTGTGTGTGTACTTAAGTTTCAATCTTTGTATTATGGTCTTAATGAGTAATCTTATGCCGTAGCTTGTTGTTCAGGGGGAGCTTACTTATGGAAAAATTGGAGACTGGCGATTTAATAAGAGGTCCTATATCAAAGGACCTCCACCTAAAAATCTATCCCTGCCTCCACCTAACATCCCTGAAAGTGTGGTATGTATATACAAATACAGTTCTCTATTGCACTATTCAATTAACATGGTTAGTGTGGTACAATTCTTTGAATAAATATTGTCGTCTTAAAACATTGCAATTATTAGTTAGATACAGAATTGTTTGGCTTTGTTAGATGAGTAGAATGATTTGGTTGCCAGTATTCACTAAGTAGTATGTTGTTAAAGGGGCAATAATATTCATTCCAGGAGAATCAATTGGCTCTTAAAGCTACAAGTGAAGAATAAGGATGACAACCGGTGTATGTGTAGTTTTGCCTCTTATTAGCATGCTTGATTCTAGCCCTACTATTCAATCCTGAAACAGAGGAAAGCATGGGTAGTAGATTTATCCCGTTTGAATCTACGTCACTATTCATTCCAACCAATCCAGAAACAAAGTAGATCAAGTGTAGTATTTTTGTTTCTGATAACCAACAAGTAAGCCCTACTTGTCACATAGGTTCAAAACTTAGACGAGTATTATGTACCTGCATTACATTGAATATAGGTATTTGCTTCAAGGCAAAAAAATAAAGACTAAAGTATGCATCAACTATAACAAGAAATATAATCTTATTGAAGTTGGTTATTACCCACTAAAACAGGTCTCCTTGTATGAGTTCTTAGTCACAGCCTTAGCCTGCAAAATAGCCCATATTATAATGGGTTGGGTGAGTTACTTTTTAGATAGATAAAATATATGTTTATACCCATATTTAACCCATAAAAATATGGGTTAGCCAAATCGGTTAAGCTTTCAACTTTTATCACTCAAAATTCAGCATATCACCAAAAGTGTTTTAACTTCTCTTCTTTTTTATGCTCCTAATTATTCTTCTCTATAATTGAAAAAGATAAAGTGTTTGACCCTCCAAATAAATATATACTATATTACATGTCCATTTCTTTTGTTAATTATAATTATATTTTTTTTATTTGTTTAATTTTATATTGGATAACAAATAATAGTGTAAGTAAGCAAATCATGTATTAGTATTGATATTGCGTAAAGTGCATTAAGCACGTTTTACTCCTAAAATGCAAATATTCATTTACATTGAAATTTAAAATATTTTTTCCTTGTTATTACATAAATTTATTTTATATTGAAAGTTAATAGGAATCTTTTTTTACTTTGATGATACAATAGAACTAAATAAAATAATTTCAACATTTTTCATCTAAAATAAAGACTAAAATATTTTATCCATGTTTTATTATAAAGTAAAGTACTATTTTATTCATCGAAATATGGGTAAATATGGGTAAACTTGTATATTACCCAACCCATTTGTTACCCATATGAAATGTGAACTGGTTGAATTATTACCCATTTTATGTTGACTATTTTTAACCCGCCTAAATTTTATCAAACCGCCCCATTTGCCACCACTAGTCACATGATATTGAATAAACCTTACCCCCTATACAAGAACCAGGTTCTTGTACGTTTACCAAAATAAACAATCGCAACACAATAAAAAAATATTTTATCATGGAAACCTTCCTCAAGGAAGGAATAAACCACACCACAATTTTATTACCATTAAGAACAATTCAAGATTACAACTCAATAATCAATGAACTAACTCTAGTACCTTTAATCTCTATCGATTAACTATAATCGAAGACTCTACTCTCTAAGAAGTCAAACTCGCTTCTTGTTACAGTGCTCTCAAACTCTCTTAACTCAACTCCCCGAGAAGTCAAAACCCACTTCCTGTTATAATTCTCAAACTCTCTCTTTTCTCTCTTAGAACACACCTCCTAAACACTGATTCAAGAAGAACCAATGTAACACATTACTTCAGAAAGAACTCCCAACTCTAGTACTTCCACATTTACTCGTTTCCTCTTTTAACTCCGCTTGGTGTTTTTGACACACTTTTCCTATTTTATCTCTGAATAATTGAACTCTTCCCGCCTCTTTCTTTTAAGTCTGATATGTGTTATGTGAACCTTGTTCATGCTGACATCATCAAAAGTATTTTGAGCAATTCATTATTCATCAATTTCCCCCTTTTTGATGATGACAAATATACTCCATTTCGTACACCTATGTCAGCCAAACACTTCCCCCTTTTGACATATCAAAAAAGGGATAAAGATCATAACAATAGGAGATCATTACAAATGCATAGCTATAGGGGCACCACTTAGACATGATAACATAAGGTGAACAAGATATAAGGATATTAGCCATCCAAACAAAAAGATAAAAACAAATCAAAGACCAATAATCAAGCAAAATAGTATGCATCAGGTTTAAGTTCACAGAGCTCCAAACAAATATCCAACATTGACACAAAACATAGCTATTCACGAGATTGTCTCCAAAGAAGCCAAAAGGAATGATTTAGGAGGTGCAAGGAGGGGATGGGGGTAGGTGGGGTATGAGATAGGGCCAAGAACTCTAACACATGATCCACACGAGCATTGTTGCAGTAGTAGCTGGTCCTTCAATCTAGCTACTCCCCCTATGACTTAGCTAGGTTAGTACAAAGAGTATCAATCTCAGTAAGTAAGGAGGGCAACATTATGTTCCCTGGCAGCATAAAGATCATTAAGAAGAATGGCAACTAGGCCAGTACCCTAGGAGCAGTAGCAGAATTTGGTCGTCATTATCAAGCAGTCTACAGTCAGCAAGAGTAGACCTAAGTATTCATATCCTTCCTTTTCAGAACTCTCCATTCCCTTAAGGGAACATTAATATCTTCAAACATAATAGTGGAGAGGTTGCTAAAATTCAACTGATGAGCACCAGGTTTAGGATCAATCACGCGTGGCATGTGTTTTATCATAAGAGAAGGCCAGCCAATAGGTTCTTTGTTTTTCGAGGGCATTGGCTATCCCCATGTCCTTAAAGGAAGCCTCATGGCATTTCACCCCCTAGAAAGAACCCCCTTGTGCACTAATTCGTACAACAATTTGTGAAAAAGTGTCATTTTCCCTTTAAGAACCTTTCTTAGTTGTGCAAAGACCCTCCCTTGTGTGTACTTAGATGTGAGCAAACAATTTTCATCTTTTGTCCACATGTATTCACCTAGCCCATCAATTGGAATATGAAAAATTTCATGAATATGGACATTATCAAATATTAATTCAACCCCATCGACAGAAGAAGTAGAAACGTTATCTTCTAACACATTTACGTTCACATAAAATTCAAATACCTCATTTTCATAGACCTCTAACCTTGTGTCTAGAACCATCCAACCTTGAAAGTACAAAAAGTCAAGCACATTTTAACCACATCTAAAGTGCGAACCTCGGGATGAGAGGTTGTCCCCCTCAAAACTGCTTTAGACCCAAAATACATTTCCTTCCCCATTGCCAAGTACTTAGCCAAATTCTTATTTTTTGTAGGGGAGAGAGGAACTAGAGGAAATAGAATCATCAGGTGACTCATCATGGTCTGAATCAAGAACAATAGGAGACTGAGGGGAGTGAACCAGAAACTTACTGGCATGATTACATTTCTTTCTTGATTCAACAACCTCATTGAGTTGGGCCTGACTAGCGCTTCGTGTGAATGAGACGTGGATAATGGTCTGCTTTTGATCAATATGCTTGCATGATTTCTAAGGAACAATTTCACGTAGTTGATTAAGGGGAACCTCATCGATGTCTAGGCTTTGTTAATAAGTGGTGTGGGTGGGCATTGGGGTAAGAGTGGATGTAGGGAGAGGGATTTCTTGGGATAGTTGTGGGACTAATGGTCTTGAAGGAGTGGATATTTGGGAAAGAAAATTAGAGTTAGGGCTTTCAACAGGCGGTGGAGATGGTGAGGGAGTGAAAGGGTCGCTGGAGGCGCATAGTGGTAGACGAGAGCATGACCCGATCAAAGATGGTGACCGGTGAGGATGGAATTGATGAGGTGGAGATGAATGTGTGGTGGAGGTGACGCCTTCCCCCCTGAGATGATTCCCTAGGTAAATCGGGCATGGATGCCTTTTCCGGTGAGGAGGAGTCCTTATCAACGGAGTAGGAGACTAGGTTTCGTGGTGTAGACATTATGAGGGTTTATGGGTTTGACGGGATTTGGGGTACGTATGTGAGAGACGAGTGTATAGGATTATTGGTAATGAAGGAGTAATGATGGGATTCTGACATTTGATCGAAAGTTTAATAGATGGTTGAGTTTCGTAAAAGAGTAGTGACTGTGGATTATTGATAATGAGTTTCCCGCGTAAATGTCAAGGTTTTTAAAGGTGGGTGTATTTAGATGGACCAAGTTCATAAGCTTTTTTCAATACAAAATCAAATGTTGGAATGTGATGCAAAATGGAATATAATGAGGATTGATGAATACCTATTAAGACGAGAACATGTTCCTTGACAAGAGAGCTCCTTTGCAACATAGTTATAGAAATCTGAGGGTAATATTATTAGACCTGATTGGAGTGTTGTCTTACTGTAAATGTATACGTGTGACAAGGTACAAAGATGAGTTAATGACAATTATGTGTTGAGATCATTCTTCAATTCTTTCATCATGAATTTGCCTTGTAAGAGAAAAGTCATTCTTGATACACCATCCCCAAGGCCAGTCGATTTTGTTGAAATTGTTCTCTTCCAAGTGCTTTGGTAAAGATATCAGCAACTTGGTCTTTAGTCATATAAAAATTCATGATGTTGAGTCTGTTCTCCACATTGTCCCCGAGAAAGTGGTGTACATATATGTGCTTTGTTCGTTTGTGTTCGTCTGGGTTATTTTCCATATTCATAGAACATGTGTTGTTGCATCTGATAGGTATACAACCTACTTTAATTCTAAAATCTTCAAGCTACTACTTTATCCATAGGATTTGAGCACAACAAGAAGCAGTTGCGATATATTCAGCTTCAGCAGTTGATAGGAAAACCGAGTTCTGCTTCTTTGTTGCCCAAGACACTAGGCATGCTCCCATAAAGTGATCCATTCCTGACGTGCTTTTTCTATCCACTAGGTATCTGGTGTAGAACTAGGTTCAGAGTTCTTTCAAGATATCGTAGAAT